TCTTACAGCATATAGTCCCTCATAAAGGTACATCAGGGCAGAAGCAGCAGCGTGGAGGTGTACACTGAAGCAGGAAACGCTCAGGAGTACTGTTCACTGGCTCACTCCCCTTTATATAGCCCAGATCCACCTACCTGCCAGTGGGTGGCACTCCCTACAGTGTACTGATTCTTCCTGTATCAGTCATTAATGGAGAAAACACCCCCACAGACTTGTCTACAGGCCCAGCTTATAGAGGCATTTTCTCAGTTCTGGTTCCCTTTTCAAGATGGCCTGAGTTATGTCAAGTTGACACAATCTTACCAGCACTGTGTCTTCTCTATACATTCCACACATCCTCACTGACTGCATCTGCCTCATGGATGGACTGAAGTCTAATCATGATAATTTATTGTGAATTTTTGATAGTGAAGTCAATTAGAATTAATAATATAAACAATATCAGTATTAAAAACACACAGATTTTTGTGTTTTCTGTGACTTGAGGAAGGGTAAAGATGAGTTTCATTTCTAATTAAAAACACAAAACAAAATAGAAAAATGTGAAAAGTAAGAGGAAAAATATCTTATTGGGTTTAGCCTGTTTTTCCCCATTCTCTCAAGTTTTAAATAGACTCTGTAAGTTTAAAACATTTCTTAAAGGATATGCCACTTAAACAGGCTGACTGTCATTTCCTATACCCTCTCTGGTAATAAGGTGTGTCTCTGATTCAGTCACCATATGTTGTGATATTCACTTAGAAGATGGAATGTGGAATGTGTCCTAAACTTTCCCTGGCACTTTCCCCAGATGCCCTGTCATATCTCAGTGTGCGTTGTCAGGCTCTAGCTCAGTTATATTACTCAAAGTCCTGTGGCTGGGTTGTAGGTTATTTTATGTTTGTTGTTGTTGTAGAGTTTATAGCTCCTTTTATAAAGTACAAATAGAATGATTACATGTTATCATTGCATATTTACTTGTGATTATATTCAGATATTATCTTTAGAAAATCATGTCCTTTTTGAAAACTTGGAATTAAAATTGCCAGATAGAATTTTTTTTTTTTTTTGGTTGTAAAAGTGATTCTGGATTTTTTTTCATAAATTGCAATTATGGATATTAGAACAATCTTCATATAATAGTATTTATATTTATACTAAGAACTTTAATATAAATTTATTATTTTATACTGTTACTGTACAAAGCCTTATAAACATTAATTTACTAGAATTACCTGTGTCAAGATCCTTTGAAAGCTAATGAGACTGAATTCTGGTGCTTCCACGCATGTCTGTGCAAGGCTCACAGGTAACCGCCTCCTTTGGTGGTTAGTTCAGGAAGGGGTTCTTGGTTTAATTAGATGACACATAGTAAGCTCTAGAAAAGTGAAGGTAGAGATGCTGTCTTCACTGGATGCTGGTCATTGCTGCTGCATCCTTGTGTGATGTACTGAAAGCTCATGGCTCACTCTACAAGCACATGGAAAGGACCAAAGCCAGCATGCTTAGTAGAGCAGACCAGGAGAGAAGATCCCTGGTTCCCAGAGGGAGATGTTAAGTTAAATAGTGCCTAAATAATCTGCCTTGTCTTTCTGATTGTGTGTGTTCAAGTGTTCGTTATTTTGCACCCTGTTGTTGAACAATGTTCTAGGATCACTCATAGTGTTAATTGGGGAGCAATGATCGTCCACAGGAAACCTTTAGTGTTGGGCCTTTTGACCTTCAGAATAAAGGAGCCAGTTACTCCATCTTTCAACTTCCCGAGTTGTGTATGTTTCTGTCCTAGCTGAATAAAGTCTCAAGAGTGGAGGTTTGGAGGTTAACTGAAAGAGGGATTCTGTTAAATGCAGCTATGGGGAGCAGGCTAGTTAGGACGTTGAGTTAATGTTCTTGGTAATGACTGATTAGGTATGGAAGAGAGGAGGGGTCTAAATGATGCCATATTTTTGGATGGGTATGTTTAGAGAGGATTCTGTCACTGTATGTTTTCAAGGGCTGTAACTCAGAAAACTTCAATTCTAAACAGTATAAATATGAGATGTTAGACTATTCAGAAAGTGATTTGGGGAAGTATATATGGATAATTATGGACTTTATAAAGATGCCTAAGCCATACGAAGTTGGAATACATAAAGTTGAAGTCACTGGTGTAGATCACATTTCCTATGCAGAGCAGGAAAGAGATTACGGAGCTCAGAGAGCACTGCCATTTGTTACTGAGGAAGTGGTGGGGAAAGTGGAAGCAGGTTACAGAAATGATGCCTTTAATCTTACAGCCTGTCCAAAGCAGATCTAGGGCTTCATCGTGGACTTTAGAATATTTAAGCAAAGGTTACTTCTTAACTGCTTGTTTCAGCTTAGACTGCAGGGAAGCTTCCCTGGTGAATGGACTGTCCATCCAACAGGGGTGTGTTCTCTTTCACAGCAGTGGCTTCTTTATAAGGCTATTTCTTTGCAAGGCTATAAGTGTGCTGCATACATACACCCAATAAAGAAGTTTCCATGAATTATTTCCAATCATTAATATGATAGGTAGCTGTCTTATTTTGGAACTTGTATAGAATATACATTATTGCCCACTGTGACTTTCCTCTGGATAATTTCATATTCTAGTTCATTCTTTGTGTTATTTCTGTTTTTATCTTTGACATGTGTTAGCAATTATCTTTATGTGAGAATAATATATTTTTATTAAAATATTCTGAAACTAAATTTTTCTTGGTTAAGGAAATTTCTCTAGAAATAAATTTTTTCAGTCACACAGGAAACTTAACTTGTGTTTATGGTGAGTAGTAGTATGGCAAACCTAATTAACTTGTGAATACATATCTAAAAGTAACTCTGTGTGTGTGACTGTGTGTGTGTGTGTGTGTGTGTGTGACTGTGTAAATAGAGAGGGAATGAGAAGATAAAACCTCAGTTATTTCTAATATATGTAGAAATATAATTTTCAATTATCACTAAAATTATTAAATTCAATTGATAATTGAAAATTAACAATTTCACTTTTCATTAAAATGATTCAAGGAACAAAAGCTGAATCGGAATCCATTTTCCTCTCTTCAGTTCAACCCCCGCCTTTATAACTTTAGTTTATATTGCACCTGTAATTAAGGAAGAAATCCAGTCTTAGGAGCGGTAGGACTTCAGCTATTGATCTATGTGTCCCCTGCTTATACTGTCAACAGCATAGCTGCTCTGTCACTGACAGGCTGAGAGGAGGATTTTTTTCCTATACTGTTTATACACTGTTCTATAGACCTGCTGGCTGGTTGAATTTTAAAGAGTGAAGAGGTTTAAAGACTTGTCCCCTGAGGGATGCTCCTGCCAGTTGGGAAGCGAGCTGCGGCTGTTTTGCAGAAGTGTGTTGTATGCATGTTGCTTATGGAAAAGAGGGGCGTCTGTGAAAGATTAAGCAACTGAGTGAGAAGCTTCCTCTTTAATTTGAGCATTAAAATTGATGTGAAATATACAGCCAATATACATATATTTAGAGGTAGACATTGACTTTGAATGTTTTTTATTGTTTCTGAATTATGTGCTTAATTTTGTAGGAGTTTATCTGACCATTATTTATAGGTGTAGTAAATATGGTAAATGACTTTACATTATGAGACACAAGATAACAATTAAGCAACAGTCAAATGAAAACAACTGTCCTAATTTGTAATAAGCTGTTTTTTAGTAATTTATTTTATGTCTAGTGACTTTTTAAATTACACTTAGCAAAATATTATAAAGAGTAAAATAACTTTCTATAAACATGGGCCTATGCTCAAACTTTTAATGGTACATATTCATAAGCAAGCCTGCATACTTGCCCTAAGGCTTGAAGGCTTTTTTTTTTCTTCTTACTGGTCTGTGAGTTCTTTTGAAGCTTTCCTAGGTATTGCTATTGGATTTCTACAGTATTTTATATTTAACTGATAATTGTAACATATACATACATCCATTTTCCTCTCTTCAATTCAACCCCCCTTATAACATACATATATATATATATTATCTTCAACTTAAAAAATTCTACTTGGAAATACTCTGGACTGTGATTCCATAGGTTTATGTGTTTGGCTCTGTCTCATTTTACTGGGTATTAGTTTTATTGGTAAAAGACATTTGTAGAAGTGACAGCTTTGGTAAGATATTTGCTCCTTTGCTTCTTAATAGGAATTTTCTTCAGTTTCTGCTCCTTTATAAGATCCTCTACCTTTAATTTGTATGATGTCTGTAATTATATGTGGAACTTTAGATTCAGAGTTAAATTTTAATGTGTTGCTTAGCTACATCAAAATACATATTCCCTTATTTTTCCAACTATCTCACTGTTTGCACTTGGTTGTAATTTTTAATAAATATTATCTCTAAATTTTAATAAAACTTTGGTTTTTATATTTATATACGTAATATTAGCTATATTATAATAGATAATTGTTTTTATTTACACATTTAAGGTGGCTATTTGAAATAAATTTAGTAACAAGTGTTTTAAGATATAAATGTGTATTTTAGAATCTATACAAAGTCTTTGAATTTTTTTTAGCACTTGTGTTGTGGGATGTACAGAGGCCTCTTAGTCATTCATTCTGCTGCCAACTCCATTCCCTTTTCTCTGCCTGCATTTTAATTGAAACAACATTTATATTTCTGAGCCAGAATCTGTGAAAAGTCCCTGTGGCTAGCCTGTGGTACTACTTGCAGCAGACGCTGCTTGCCCATATGGTGCAGTGCTCCTTGTGAGATCCATATGGCCTTGTTGAAGGGGACCCCAGCGGGGATGCGAGGGTGTTAATACCCCTCAGGCCAGGCCTTTCCCTCCTGGGGCTTCCGGGCATTGTCAGTGCAATCTGCCAAAGCACACACTTAATTCCTTTTTAATAATCAATTATTTCAGTCTGAGAACCTGTGCCTTTGTCTTAAAAATACTTCATCCATCCCTTGAAAATGTCTCAAAAAAGTTTTAACTGCATGTTTAAAAACATTCTAAAGCATCCTCCTAAATTATTTTGAATTTGCATTTTTAGGAAGTTCTGCAGAGCGTGCCCAAGTTCTGTTTTCCGTTCGATGTGGAAAGGTATAGTATAAGTTAATGATTAAGATAATGTTTTTTTCTTTTAGCACATATTTCAAAATGATTAAATATACATTTTAAGAAACTGGTATATATCTTTGTTTTTATTGTATGCAAATATGGCAGGTGTGAAGTTCAGAATTAGATAATGCTTACAATGAAATAGCCTTTCAGATTATTCTGTCTTTTGCTTCCTCCACCATGGCCAGATAGGCGTTCTTAAAGTGACATTGGCCACAGGTTATGTTTCCTCTCCTTATATGTCAGGTATAGATTGTAAGCACCAGCAGAGAAAAATGTATCTTTGGTCTTTGATTGGGACCTTCAGAAGGTCTTTTAAAGCTATAGTTTTACTGCTTGCTCCAGATTCATCCTACTGGAAGAGCATCAGTGCAATGTTGTGATCTTGTTGTTAGTTGTTTCTAAGAACAGTGTCATACAACAGTATGTTACTAAGGGTGGCTGTGGGAAACTTCCCTAGTAGCTTCAACAAGCTCATTGTGGTTATATTTTGCTGCCAATACTAACTGAACTTCTATACAGTTGGAAGTTAGCACAATAGATGCCTCTTTGGAAATAATGACATTTATTGTTTTTCATGTGACTGATCAGTATTACCAGTTTTATTTTAAGAATGTACTGTAAAAAGTTTTTAAAAATCATTTTATGAAAATGTTTTGCCAAATGTTAGTAAGACTGAATGTTTGGTATATAGATTGTAAAGAGATCTGAGAGTGGGAGAGTTGATACTAACAAATATTGCTGATGATAAATTATTTACTTACCTTATTTCTGGAGAATTAGTTGCTCTCCTGTCTAATTTCAAAATTATAGTATTAAATCAATAGTGAGAATAAAATAGAGGAAGAAAAACTGCAAGAGGATATTATAAATCTTGAATACAGAGGACATATTAGTCACTGGAGGATTTATTTGACATGTATAAAACTAGATATGTACTTGTCCTGGCCATCTTATGTGTACTTGTTCAATAACTGTTGTTCTGTGACAAAATAATTTATAGTTTTAGAATACTGGTAGTAATTTATTTAATTTCAAAATCTGTATTACTCTTTTAAAACCGAAATTCGTGTCATCAGTATTTTATTTTGGGACAAAGAACATGAAATTCTATTGTGGTTTTATGAGCTAGTATCTCAAAGTATGTTGATGCATTTTAAGCAGAGGTAAATATTTTGTTTAGTTTTTAATCATCCCTTATGCTGAAGTGCAGCATGTAATTTGGTGTTATTCTATACATTTTAAAATCAGATAAAACTCATTATAGACCACTAGTAGGGTTCTTTAGTAGGAATTGTATTCTTTTTGCTGGAATTTGATTATGCAGCTCATTGATAGTTCTAAAAATAATGCTAAGAAAAATAACAGTACTGCTTGGTGTGATGTACATTGAGTGAGAATGTCAACAGAAGAAGCAATTCAATATGATGGTGGTCGCCTTTAGAGGATGAAGCAACGTGATTTGTTATCCAGGGACTCAAAAATTGGGAAAAGTAGGATAATTTAGACAGAAGAAGATCCTTCTAGTTATAGAACATCATTGCAGCTTCTAGACTCCAATATTGGAAAGGTGATGCCAATGCCAAATAAGTCTTGTCTTTTTATCTTAGGAAATCAGCACAGATTTAATGCAATAATATTGTTATGTCTTAGGGTGTCTCAAAATCAGGTTGGACAGCACTTTACCTTCGTCCTGACAGACATGGAAAGTAAGCAGCGATTTGGGTTCTGCAGGCTCACATCTGGAGGCAGAATTTGTTTGTGTATTCTTAGGTGAGTAGTTATAATCAAAATATGGCTATAAAATAGATTGTGCCTCTGTTCTACTTTATCATGCTTGATATCTCAAATAATAAAAACAAAGCAACTTTTCATAATGCTTTTAAAATTTTCTTTATTTCTTCAGTCTAAATCTAAGTAAGATAAGTAATAGTCTCCCTTCTGTTCCACATACAGAATAAATTGTTTATCAGTAACATATTAGAATTTTTCTTAGAAGAACTAATATTTTAAGGACTGAAAATCAAATATTAACATGCGATATGTGTAAATAGGATAACACTTAGGAAAGTTAACGTGCTCTTTTCTGTCATTGATACACATGTGACCTTTGTGAACCAATTGCTGTTTTAAGGCAAAGATTGCAAACTTGCAGTTGGGAAGAAGTCAGAGAGTATTGTTAGGCCCCTGGGTGTTTTAAAATGTTTAAAAGATGTTAATCTTATTCATTTTAGGAAGTTTTGTGTAAAATTTATATTTCTAATTTCTTTGGAAAAATAGGGAGGGATATCTGCTCATTATAAATCTTACCTATCTCAGTGGCGACGATAAGCTGGAAATAAATGGGGTTTTAAGTATGTGATGATCTTGCTAGATTTCATGGTCCCTCTTGCATAAGACTGTGATTTGAATTGTTGGCAGTTGAAATAAAAAGCATTTAAACTTAATTCCTGTAAGATGTCATGGTAAACAAAGAATCCAGATGTAGCCTATAAAAAGTATAATTCTTTATTATTATAATGTAGATACTGGAAATTCTAGACTCAATAGACAATGACACTCAATTTACAGTTTAACATCTTATGAGAAAAACCTTGTTTGTAAGTTACTTTTGTATTGCTGTGATATAACACCATAACCAACCAACTTATAGAAGGAAGGGTTGTATTTTGGACTTGTGGTTTCAGAGAAATAAGAGTCTATTATCATCATGGTAGGGTATTCCGAGGATTCTCGCAGTGGGGAACTGGCATCAGAGCATTGACAGTTTAAGTCCAGCATAGGTTACATGGTGAGAGCCCGTGTTGCAGTACAATTCCCTGAAGCACAAGTTAAGTGTTTTATCAGCACAAGGAGAATGTTGTGTTATCTACTCTTTTCTTTGTATTATCTATTATTTGTAAGATTATCAAGTGTCGTAGTCTTGTGAAAGGAAACTTGATAATAAGCGATTTTTGAGCTCTTTTGTTTCTTGTAGTTTTAGCTCTTGAATTCTTCCAGAGTCTGTGGAGATGTATCAGCAGTGTTGATGCTAACAAGCTTTAAAGAAGCAGAGAATGTATTAGTGTCACTTAATCATATCACAAGAGGGCATGTTTACTCAAATATTATACTAATTTTATATATCAATTTAAAAATAATAAAAAGATTTAGATTTTTTGTGTCAATATTCATGATTTTTTTTGATGTTTACTTTCTCTAGTCTCCCTTGTCTAACAGCTCTTTACAGCAGAATGTTACCTCTATAGGTACAGGTAGCTCTGGTCTCCCCAGCATCTACTTAACATCTGGCCTTCAAGGGACTCTTAATAGTCTGAAGAGGTGTTTGAAGAATAAGTAAATGAAAAGATTGAGGGAAGAAGAGTTACATATGTGGAAAAATTCATAAGCAAATGTAACCTAGCTTAAGAGAATAGTTTACAATATGTTGTAAAATTATAAAAAATTCAAAACAATAGTTATATCACTGTAAGTTATTATTTAACAGGTTATGTGTTTCCATATAAATGTTTATTTTATGAAGTGATTCATAGAAATAATTATATTATTATATAATTGTACATACTTATAAAAATGCCTTAAAGAGTATATCCTCAATTTCTGAACTTTGTCATTAGTTTAGTTTTTCATTTCTACATTTCAGCAAAAATCCCCAGTTTCTGGTCAATTATTCTGCTTGATTAATGCAGGAATGTGGTGTCTTTAGGAGCAGGGTCTTGTCATCAAGTTCTGGACAGTAACCAAGAGCAATGACAATCTCCTGTGATGTTTGGGAGGGGTGTCTCTGGGACCTGATTGGCCAATACCTCACACATATAAGCAAAACGATAATCCATTAATGGTTCTGGTTTTTTGTTTTGTTTTGCTTTTTTATTTTATTTTATTTTTTTTGTTATTTTTTATTTGCTGTCTAGTTGGGGTTTTGTCCCATTATAGAGTAACTGCATTTATAATCGTCTGTATATTTCAGGAAACTTCTACAGTAATCAGTTTCTATATGGCTTTTTCAAAGGCCTTTAGTGTTGGTCCATCCCTTCTCAGTCTCTTGTTTTCCCTGCTGTCTGCTTCCTACTCCATTAATTAACCCTGTTTCCCTCTGTATATCACTGCATCTCTAGTCTCTTTCCCACTCTTCTCCTGATCTCTGTGGCTATACCAAGTGAAATATGCATATCTAAAGTTTTAATGCTTCTATTCACATATGAGATTTTTATCTTTCTAGGTCTTGGTTACTTAAGTCAGAATGCTTGTTCCCAGTTCCATCCATTTACCTGTGAACTTCATGTATTGGGAAATGCTATGCATACTACTAGAGGAGAAAGTAGGCATGTGTCTCATTCAGTTGTAAGCCCTGCGAGCTACTAAGTGACTGTCTTGGCATGACTGTCATGAGAGTAACCTCTTACTTTGTGATTGGATTTAAGGCTTGCTCCACCAGATTGAACCCATACCTAGCACCATTATCATGCCTAAGAATCAGTGGCTAGGTCGGTCATAATATCCTAAGACAGAATGTACTATACTTACTCCGCTAAATGAACATAGCATTACCATGACTCTTTATTATTGACTACTATACCCACAGAGTAGTGCATCTCCTAGCCTTTATAAGAGAAGCTTTTTCATTCAGTAGGTGAAAATTAAAATGGCGATCCATGATCCATAAGTGGTCAACATGTAGAGAATAAGAGATGGCAGGACATGTGTATATCACATTTCCTGCCTCCCCAAGGTTCAAGGATCATCATAGAAGAGAGGGCTAAAAAATTGTAGAGCCAAAAGTGGTAGACGGTTACAAGAAAACAATGTTTTCCAGGCACAACAAGGGAGATGGGTATAAGAATTCATAATGATTTTGACAGCGTGCACATGAGTGCAAACTCAAGCTAGATAAAAGTCTCAGCATGAAGTAGGGAAATGGGTAAGAAGTTCAAGCCGTGGCTAGGGAACTATTGATCCTTTACAGCTTTTGGAAAGAAAATTTGGTTTTCTTTAAGAGTATGACTCCTGGTAGGTAGACTGACCATTTTCTCCAAGGCAGACCCTCCTCTAAAGAACATTTAGACAATAAGTACCAGAGTAAATAGATAGATAGGTAGATAGATAGATAGGTAGATAGATAGATAGATAGATAGATAGATAGATAGATAAAGGGAAAAAGAAAGAAAGAGAGAGGGAGGGAGAAAGAGAGGGAGGGAGGGAGGGAAGGAGGAAGAGAGAGAGAGAGAGAGAGAGAGAGAGAGAGAGAGAGAGAGAGAGAGAGAGAAGTGAGCACAAATTTGGGTGGTATGGGTGTGAGAGTGGATCTGGGAAGAGTTGGGGATAGGAGAAGGGTAAATGTGATCAAAACAAAATGATAAAATTCTCAAAGAATTAATGAACTATAAAGATAGTTTAATAGAAAGAGCATACAAATTGCTTATCCAATACTATATGGTCAGCCTGAAACCACATATATACAAGTAACAGTATATAGACTGATCAGTTGTTCAGGCATATAAATGTATCTGTGTAACGACATTTAATGAAAAAAGGAAGCCATGGATTTTTACAACGATCAAAGAGGTGTACATGGCAGAGTTTGGAGGGAGGAAAGGGAAGGGGGCAGGGGAAATGATGTAATTATAGTATAGTTCTAAAAAATAAAACAAATATTGTAAAGTTATAAAAATTGTTTCATGTAGCATTTTACTGATCTAAAATTCTAAGATGCCATCATTATATAGATGATCAGTATAATAAGAACTTTAGCCATTATGTTAGAAATTAGTGGGAATGTATCCAGATCATCTCTGGTCAGGTAGATATATATGGTGTGTTTGCAGGATGTACGTTATCTAGCTAGTGTTGCAGTGGACATGACAGGCAGACACTGGTCAGGGCAGTGCTGAAGGACAGAGATGGGGCAGTAGTGTTCTGTGCCATTGAAATTTAAGATGAGGATATTAAATAATGACCTGGAACAAAAAAGAATCAGACTGACAGTGTGACTATGACAGTTAAGAACCCAGTGGTTAGTGCTTTGCTCTGATTTCCATGTAAAATGGAAAAATGTTTTCTTTGTTGGAAATGTGTTACATATTTCTAAAACTTTTTATTTCCTTGAAGTAAGGTTTGCTAGATTTGTACTATACACTGAAACTATACTAGGAAAAAGTTTGGGCTAACACAAACGTTATACACACATATAACATAGATTATATACACATTTAAAGCTCAGAGTCAATAGAGTTTTGGTTGAAAGAGCCAGAGAAGGGATATAAGAGTAAGTACAGAGCTACTCAGTTTCCCAGACTTTTCCGTTTGTAGCAGGCTTACAGTCGCTGAGAGCAGTTCTTCGGATTATGACTGATTAGATGCCGAGGAAGCGTTATGAAATGTTTACAGTGAGACTGGAAAAGCCTTCGCCTTGGAATTCTTGTATTTAATACAGCTGAAACTTACTGACGAATTTGCTTTTTTCAGCAAGTCACAGAGCGTACACACATCAACAAAAATAAACCCTATTTATATTTGTAATGCATAATGCTTGCAGTGTGTCATTTATGTTGCAGACTTCTTCCCATATGTCCAAAGGTATACGTATATATTTTTGTGCAGTTTATTAAGTTAAAGTGTAAATTAACTCTCAGTATTTATGATTTGCAAAATGCATGGATTTTTTAATGTGATTCATAAGAGCTCCTGTAACTGTATCCTCTCCTGTAACAGCCCTTCACTTTTATTCTTGCCTGATGGTAAGTTGAAACTAAACGCACGCCACTAAAACCATG